ACATAGATTAAAAAAAAATCATTGCTACTTACATTGACTTCTAATTACCTATAAGTTTCCAATTGGACGCTGATGTCATAAGAAGACACTTGTTTAGGAGGATCTGGTTCCCTTCCTCACTGAAATTTAATTATTTTTCTGGGTGATATTTCTCAAACATGCAGCAAAATATGCATGGGCAATCTCTCCAATAATTCAGTATGAATTACTTGGCACTCTATGTTGAAATAGGAGTTAGAAAATCAGAGTTGGGAGGATAGATTTTGCTACTCCTTGAATAATTATCAGATAAATGAACCATCTTTCCAACTACAGGGCTTGCTGGGTCCAGTAAACTTAAATAGGAAGCTATCTAAGGCAGTTCCTACCAGAAGTGCAAGCTCTACAAAATTTTGTTTATAGAAATAGAAATAACATTCAGTTGAATTTCTAGCAAGTATCCCAAAATCATTCAGGTACTTATTTCTAGTGGAAAAAAGGCTTTAGTTCTAATGTAGCAAATTTGAATTTACCATTGAGGTCTACCAAAGAGATTTAAATTTGCCAACAGTATTTGTCAAATGCACATTTCAGATCTCAAATGCCTTCTTTTTTTTTTTTTTTGAGATATTAATAATCATGTTCTCAGATCCTTTTGGTCTTTATAAAATTTGAATCAGGCAAGAAACTCAGATTGGTTTTAGAAATTAGAGTCATGGATGGCAATATAGGGTTATAAAAAGAGAGGGAGACATGATTTTAAAAGAACATGTAGTAGTTTCAACACAAAAAAAGTTAAAATATGTGCAAATTATATGAGAGTATTTATAATATTTGGAACTTATTTTATATCCATATATATGTAAATTATTATATACCTTATCCCAAACACCTAATAAGCAACCATTATTAATTTGTTTGATATGATATGATGTGCAAATAGGTGCTCGTGCTGAGGGTCCTGCTGTAGAGAATATGCGTTTGGGAGTAGAAAAGTCCTGTGCTCACCTGTGATTGATATACAGAGCTCTGTTGTCACATTGCATTCTATAGCGCTGGGAGCGCTTAGATGTTTTTCTGCTTTCTTCTATTCCTTCCCATTTTTCCCAAATCTTCCCAAGATTTACAGAGTTCCTCTTCCATGTTCAGTAGTCCTTCAAACAATTGTCTTTTTTTTTTTTTTTGGTTTTTTTTTTTTTTTTTTTTTTTGAGACCATGAGTCAATGATAAATTCAAAAGTGCTTTAATATCCTACCAGGGGCACTACTAAAGGAAGGTGTTTTCCAAATAGTACAAAATAGGTCTTACATCCCTGTATTTTGTTTTGCTGCTGAGGTGCAAGGATTCTAGCAATCTCTGGTACTCAGTGTGGAATTAGGGTTTCTAAGAGAATACTTGAGATGCTCCAGGCTCTTTGAACTAGTAAGCTTGGGAAAGGCTGCATGTTCTTGCCCACCTTCTGAAGCTTCACAATGCATTGTGGGTATATAAAAGGCTCTGAGATCTGAGATTCCCTGCAATCCAGAAACCCATTTTTCTTTTCTTTTGCAAAACTCAGCATTTTTTAAATTAAGAATCATTTTATTAAAAATCAAAGCACCACAAACTTTTTTAGTTGGTTTGATTGTGAGCATATTAATTCATTCAGTCATTCAGATAGGATGATTTTTCTTTAAATACTTAATCTTCTTATGAAAAAGAAAGTATAATTTTTCCTCTCTTTGCATCTTTCCTTCTGTTCCTGGTCATTTCCTCTAAAGTATATCTTTTTTTTTTTTATTGTTTTTTTTTTTTTTTAAATTTTTTTTTTTTTTTTTTTAAGGTTTTTTTTTTTTTTGTAATTTTATTTTTTCAGTGTTCCAAGATTCATTGTTTATGTGCCACACCCAGCACTCCATGCAATACATGCCCTCCTTAATACCTATCACCAGGCTTGCCCATCCCTCCACCCTTTTCCCCTCCAAAACCCTCAGTTTGTTTCTCAGAGTCCACAGTTTCTCATGGTTTGTCTCCCCCTCCGATTTCCCCCAACTCACTTTTCCTCTCTATCTCCCAATGTCCTCCATGTTATTCCTTATGCTCCACAAGTAAATGAAACCATATGATAATTGACTCTCTCTGCTTGACTTATTTCACTCAGCATTTTTCAAACTTAATTTTACCATAGAGCTATTTTGTTGCCTGATATCCAGTTATTTGGCTGCACATAGTTTTGAAAATACTAATCTAAAAAGTCAGGTGCCAGCAAACAAGATTTGTGGGGTCCTCGTTTCTAATTGTACTTGCTCTATATGAGTTGTAGCATTCTTCTAAAGGTAAAATAAAACAGAATAGCGTCATTGCTTTGTAAACCAGAAGTGCCTATGTGTATGGAAAAAAGTACTGTAATCAGAATGTAGCCTTTTCTTCCTAAATTGTAGAACGTGGTTGCTAAACTATTTAAGGAGAATTGAAGCAGACAAGTTAAATTCCCATCTCCCCTTTATATATACATTTAAAGATTTTATTTATTTATTTGACACAGAGAGAGATCACAAGGAGGCAGAGAGGCAGGCAGAAAGAGAGAGGGGGATGCAGGCTCCCCACTGAGCAGAGAACCTTATGCTGGGCTCAATCCCAGGACCCTGACATCATAACCCGAGCCAAAGGCAGAAGGTTAATCCACTAAACCACCTAGGTGCCCCTCTCCTTTATATTTTTATTGTCCTTATTAGTTGTTAAATGTAATATGATGGCCAAGCAGGTGCTAACATTTAGGTCATAGTTATACAGATTTAAAGATTAGATGAGTCTCATAATGCCATCAAAATGGAAGATTTACATGTGAAAGTGAATATTTCCCAAGTAGAGTCATCTTTCTGGTGAGTGAGGAAAAAGCACTTTTGCTATTTATACAAATCCATATTCTCAAATTAGAGTGATTTTTCTTCTCAATGGCCAAAGTTGTAGACTTAAGCCCTGCAAATTACTTCCACTTCAAATTAACAGGGAATGTTGGTTCCAACCCATCACCATAATCTAGGTGTGGTGGATATAGACACACACACCCCCTCAGATATATATCCCAAAGATATGCTACTGTGTAGATTTCAGGAGTGATCCTACTTTTTGGCTTGGGATAGGGACTTTAGTTTGGCTGCTTACCACTTCTTAAATGTTTTATTTGGAAAAATAGAACACCCATCTCTGCATCTATATGCAATATCTTTGATTTCTATGGCAAGCCTCCTATCTCTGTATGTAGTATTCATACCCTCTGAAAGTCCTCCCTTCTCTTGCTTTTCTAGAAACTTCTTAGTTATCCAGCAAGTGCCGGTTAAACGTTATCAATCTTTGATGCTATCCTGATTTCTGAACACATTTACTATGTTCAAATATTTATTATCGAGCCCATTATAACCTTAATTTCCTCTTCATATGCCTTCTTTACCATGAAGATACCAACCAGTGCTCTCCTGAGAAGCACTGTTTCCCACTACCTCATCTGCCTAAACATCATTGAGCCAAAGTAGCTAACTTTGGAGGGTGCTTGCTTCCATCTTCAGGAACCGCTCAGATACTAGAATAGAAATACAGTGGGTGACATTGGCATTGAATGATATTACTATTTGCATCTCAGAGGATCAGTCTTACAGACTTCTTTTGTGGCACTCTGGTAAGGATAGGTTTACAAATGGAATTATTTGCCAACTTTGCATGTGGTAAGTTTCACATTAAACAGTGAATTCTGATACCTGTTTAAATTTGGAACTCTTAAGCTCTTGGAACATGGAGCCCATGTCACTGTATAGTAACCTGAGTGGCTGCTGGCTTTTTGGTTCACTTCTGCTCACCTTTAGACCCAGCCCACATCACTCATTCTTATTATCCAAATGGCTCCCACTGTCATTTGAGTTCTGATCCCTTTATCTTATTTAGTCTATCAATTAAAAAATAACACAGGAAAACACAGAGAATCCATGATCCAAATATATTCTCCAGACTCCTGGAAAAATTATTCATCATTTAATTTTTAAATTATAATTCTTATTATAATGAACTGATAATTTTATCTAAAAGTGTAATCCTTTTGTTATAATTAGTATCACCTGAACTCTCTGCTAAGAATGATTCTATTTCTCCTAATTGATTTTTGATTTATAATTTCTGGGCATTGTAATTCTGTGGTGAAGAAGGTTGAACTATTTACATAATGCTGCTAAAAAGTTTAGAGTCCAATTTGTGTTGTCTCCATAGCACACACAGCCAACTATGCTGTAAACCCCTTAAATGCTTTCTGAGATAAATTTTAAAAAAATGGATAAACAAACAAAACTATAATCTTAAGTTTTGGCCACTTCTCTCCCCCCCAAAACCCGTGTCTCCCTTTCTTGATTCATACAAGTGCTTCTGAATGAAAGTCCCTACATTAGTTATTTATATTAGGTTTTGTTATTTTCAAATTTGGGATCTTTATCTTTGGTCTACTTGCATAGGAATACAACATTTCCCTGTATTTTATTGATAGAGCAGCAAAACAGGTTCCAGAGAATTTCCTTCAAACCACTGTAATTTGGGGCTCTTTAATACAGCCAGCAGGGGGTGCAAGTCTTGAGTTAAGCTTCTTAATATGCAAACACTGTTGACTGTTGAGTGTTTTCAAACACATGTCACCATTTTGTCTGGCACCATTCCCAGGATCAGTGATGAAGGCTATGATTTTATAGTGAACCGTTAAGTGACAACTGGTCATTTAATCCTTTTGTAGACAAACTTTTTTTGTCATAAGGCCCTCCATTCCAGAACATATTGTGTCACAGGGTCTGTTGTCTTGGGAATCATCTGCACATTACACACCCAGCTCATAAGGGCTCTGGCCTTCTTTTAAAATTCTCAGCTCTTCCAACTGCAGACACTGATACTAGTTTTGTGTAAGGATGATGGAGAGTGTGAGAATGGAGATGAGAGAAAGAGAGAAATATATAATGGATTTCTCACTCACTTCTTACTTTATTTTGTTCATCTAAGTGAACACGCTGGCAGCTAAGAAAATGGTCAGAGGAAATTCCACCCTGGTGACAGAATTTGTTCTCTTGGGGTTAACAGATCGTCCAGAGCTTCAGCCTGTCCTCTTTGTGCTGTTTCTGGTGATCTATTTGATCACTGTGGGGGGGAACCTTGGGATGTTGGTATTGATCAGGATTGATTTATGCCTCCATACCCCCATGTACTACTTTCTTGCCAGTTTGTCTTGCTTGGATTTGTGCTATTCCACAAATGTGACTCCCAAGATGTTGGTGAACTTCTTATCAGAGAAGAAAACCATTTCCTATGCTGCTTGTTTAGTCCAGTGTTATTTCTTCATTGCCATGGTTATTACTGAATATTACATGCTAGCCATAATGGCTTATGATAGATACATGGCCATCTGTAACCCTTTGCTTTACAGCAGCAAGATGTCCAGAGGGGTATGTATTCGCCTGATTGTTGGTCCATATGTCTATGGGTTCCTTAGTGGCCTGATAGAAACCATGTGGACCTACCGCTTGACCTTCTGTGACTCCAATATTATTAATCACTTCTACTGTGCTGACCCTCCTCTTATCCAGCTCTCCTGCTCTGACACTTTCATTAAGGAGACATCCATGTTTGTGGTAGCAGGATTTAACCTCTCCAACTCCCTCCTTATAATCCTCATCTCCTATATCTTCATACTCATCGCCATCCTGAGGATGCAGTCTACTGAAGGCAGGCACAAAGCTTTTTCCACCTGTGGGTCCCATCTGGTGGCAGTGACTGTATTTTATGCGACACTGTTCTGCATGTATGTTAGACCTCCCACGGACAAGTCAGTGGAGCAGTCTAAAGTTATTGATGTTTTCTACACTTTTATAAGCCCTATGTTGAACCCCATCATTTATAGTCTGAGGAACAAGAATGTGAAACAAGCTTTTTGGAAACTGATCAGAAAAAATGTATTTTTGAAGTAAAATTACAATGTATCTTTCTTTATAAATTAAATAAAAGCTATTCATAAGAACTGGATCCAACTTTAACTGCATTAACAGTAAAGTTATTTTAAATCTATAATGAAAAGCTAAAATCTAATGACAAAACATTCAAGACATAGGTACAGGAGATTTATAGTTTTACAGGTGATGTGTGAGTGTGCATCGAGTGTGCAAAGGGTTGGAGGTCAGATATGTAGGTATAGTGGATAATTTCTCTTAAACACTTTTACATCGTTTGTTACTTTTACACTATAAAAATTATACATTTTTATAGTAAAATATTTAATCTCTATAGAAGAGTCCAAAGTAAAAGATTTTTCCCTTTTTCTTCTCCCACCCTGATCTTCCACTGTCTCCTTTTAAGGTTGCTATTATTAACAGTTTCTTATGTTTGCGGAAAATTTCTCTGCATCTACAAAGCAATGTATGGCTATATATGCACACACACACACACACACACACACACACACACTCACACATTTGTCAATACCCGCGTTGACTGTTATGAGCTATCTTTTAGTAGTTTGTGATTCTGTAGCATTTGCTATGCAGTGGTTTCCACTGCATGGTCTAGAGCAATGTGACCACAACTGCTGATTGAGACTTGCTGTCACCTCTGGTAGAAAAATGTCAAGATAACAGCTCCATGTCCATGCCTGATGTCCATTTATTCCTCCCTGCTTATAAGAATCATTTTTAATAAGACACTTTCTTCCTTCTGCCATAACAGTACACAAAAATTTCCAATTAGTTTTTAGATATTAACTCCTGAAGCAGGCAATGGATGTCTCTTACAAAAACACATGGCTTGCCTCAAAAGAAATCGTGACTCTGTGGAGTTTATCTGTGACATCACAGACTCCTAGTCTCTGCGGTTTTCATGCTTTCCTTCATCTTTGCCTGTTAACCTATTTTCAGGATGGGACAGATTTTTTTTTTTTTTTTTGGTAGCGTAATGTTAATTTTATCCACAAAAGTTGCCCTTTGCTACAATTAGGTACTATATATCTAATTTTAGAATTCAACATTGTGACTTATTTGTAAATATTTTGATGCTAAAGAATTCAAAAGACAAGTTAATTTTGAAGATGTTAACATTTCAGGTGACTTTGCAGCTACAAAGCATAAGCAGAGTTGATGAAATGTTTACAGAGTATCTATAAGCCAAGTACTGCTCCATTACCAAAGATTCCCCAAGGAGCTCTAGGATTGTATAGTTTTGTAGAGTTCATGAAACTTTAAAGAGAAGAATCAATACAATTTGTTAAGTGCTATAATATAAGAAAATGAAATTGCTAATGCAACAGAGGAAAGAAAGAATGTATTCTAAGTTGAAGTTGGTCTCATATGATTGTACAAGAAGAGAACTTGTTCATCCTTTGTGCACCTGCTCCAGCATACTCATAACTACTAGTACAATGTGATGTCAGAGCAGGCAGGGTCTGAACAAAATTCGTGATCCCATATGTACATGTTACTTTCAATGAAAAAGGAAAAGCCACAGAACTGTAATTAGTCACTCACCCCTGGACACATATTTCTCAGTTGTATTTCAAAGCTTCTTTTCTACCCAAGAGTTTATTTCTCTTCAATGTTTTCTACAAGGTAACATTTTCATATTTATTGATTCTCTGTTATTCCATATAATTATTGCAACTTTTCTATTACGAGATGTTGTTCTTCAACCTTCTACCTCTCCTCCTTGCTTGTGCTCTCTTGCTATCTCTCACTGTCTCTCTCTCTCTCTCTCTCTCTCAAATAAATAAATAAACAAAAATCTTAAAAAAAAAGAAAGTCAAATTGTCTGTGAATGCTGGTAAAATACACATCTAAACAAATTGTTATTTTTGTAAATTTTAACATTCAATTAATAGTGTGTTGTATTTTACTTAAACAAATACCCAGGATCTATTGCTGTTTAAGCACACACATATACAATTATACAGAAGTAGCTCCCTTATTTTTCCAGTATTCTTATTTCAGGGTCCATGTATGTAGTTTTACAGACTAGCTTGGCATTAAATGAAGCTTTCTTAATGATTGCAGCATAGAAAAAAATTAAGCGAACCTCCATTTTGAATGTGAACAAAGTACCTCCAGTTTGCATATGTCAGAGAATGTCTTTGAATGAACCAACAAAGGACTTTGTGGAAATATATGAGCTATAAGCTAACAGTATTGTTCAGAAATACCTGTGATCATGATGCCATCGACATTTATGACTGGTATTAGCAATATGAAGCCATAGTTTTGGCCACATGTATGAAAGTCTAAAATAAAGAGGGATTTCACCAAGTGCCTTCATGAATTGGTTGGCTGTTAGGAATTACACCATAGAGAGTCTATTTTTTAGTTCATATTGTGCTGTGCTGGAGATTGAGTAAGTATGTGCTTCTGCAGTGCTTTGTGTATTAATGATTTGAATTCCCTTATTAAAGAAAACATCTCCCATAAGGAATTTTAAGAACAAGCTCTTAAACTCTTGCTCTTCTTCTTTTAATGTTGATTTTGCTGGATTCTAGATTTATTGAACAAATTAAGCAATGTGATATTGGAAGAATCTATGAGAAAATAGACAATATTTTCCACACTTCCTTAAGGAACAATAATTATAAGATATTTTATACTTTACTTCCCACCTATCTAAAAGGTCATGAATCCAATTGGTCATTTTCTCAGGAAATCTGATCCATGTGTACTTAAAAAAATAAACAAATATTCCAGGGAATGATAATGCTGTAAATCTAATATTTTTCTTCATATATCATATATTTCCTTGGAGCACTGGATATCTGAAGAATGTTAAGACTCTCACACTCATACATATACACATGAAGGGGAGAGAAAGGAATAAAAATGTTCACCAAAGTTCAGACACTGTTTTAATATATGTTGTTTCACTTAATCTGCCCATTAATACCATGATTACAGAATTGTCACCCCATTTTAAAGTTGAGCAGAAACTCTCAATTAATTGCTTACCTAAAATCACATAGCTGTGAAAAGAAGTCCAAATGTGTCTGGCTTTGACATTTATTGTTTCTTTTTTCTACTATGATATACTGTTTTTCACTATACTTTTTTGAAGGGAAAAGCCATGGAATGAGTAAAGCTATCATTTTCTGTATTTCAAAAATACTGTTGATTGGGTATTTGAAAGCCGAATGCACTCTGACCAATATAATCTACTATGAGAAAAGATCCTATTTTATAGTGTTTATACAAATTCATATTTTTCAATAAAGTGAGCTTTGTAGTCAGATCCTGACTTGATCATTTATCAGCCAAATTACTAGTCATGAGCATAAACTCTAGGATCAGATTTATTGATCAAATTAATCTCTCTCTGCCTCAGTTTTTTCCTTTGGAAGGTAAATATATATAGTACTTTCTCATAGGGAAGCTGGGTAGAAAAATGGATTAATACCTATGTTGTATCTCAAACTAAGGTAACATTGTGTGTCTATTATACTTAAATAAAAACATTTAAGAAATACCTATAAAGTACTTAGCACAATGTCCAATATATAGTATTCACTTAATAAAAGTGAACCGATTTTTATTATTAACTAGAAAGTTACTTCACCTATTTGAGACTTGGTTTACTCTCATAGCTTTCAATATTTTTCTGTTATTACATTTATCATTCTTCAGATATAATGCCCTTATAGTTTTGGTTATTTAATTAATTCCTGTGTTCCACATCTTGTAAATACCACAAAGTCATATCTAAAATTTGAAAGCAATTATTTCTCTGTTGTTCAGCTTGGTACATTGTCTGTGCCCCCTTAAAAACTAGAAAGGTGATCAACAGATAGTAGATGATAGATAGACAGATAGATAGAAATTAAAGGATTCTTTCAAATTGAAAATTAGATCAGTTGTGAAAGGTGACAGCAATCAGAAAACATGACACACACTGATGGAATCTTAACTGTGTATGATTTACTCATGTACAATTAGTCAATCTATTTTTATTTTCTCCAACAGAAGAATTCATCTGGCATGTTCAGGATAAATCAGACCAGAGAGAAGGATTTTATCCTCCTGGGGTGGACCAGTTATCCAGTGTGGCACCTTTCCTTTTTTTCTTGTTTCTAGTTATTTGTATTCTCTTTCTTCAGGAAATCTTGAGCCTAACACTGCAGATCACATCCTCATACGATGTCTTCACTGATCTGCCAATCCCACATACTCTGGTTAACTTTTTATTTAAGAAGATCATTTCCTTGATCAATTTGTTTGAACAGTATAACATGGTCACTTTCCTGTTAACTCAATATTTTGTCTCTGATGCTATCTCTGACAATCACATCCACATGATCATTTGCTTTTCATGTATTTACCAGATCAGATTCAAAGTGTTCTACATTTATATGGCTGCCATTGTCTATATATGTTTCATATAGATTTGTGTAACATCACAGTTGTTTTCTCAAGAGCTGGCAACATGGAACATTATCATCACATTCTGTTGCTTTGTAGCTTCTGAAAAAATGAGATTTTACTATAACCAAATGGAAACTCCAGAACATGCTTAGGAGTATATGGGAGACTCAAGTTATCACTGTTTTGAGCAAATTTTCAATCTTTCCAGTCACTGTAAGCCAGGGAAACCTCTCTGGTTTTGAATTCTATCTTAGAAATACCCTGGGCAATGGCACCTCCTTGAAAAAATCAGTAGCAAAATTAAAACTGTATCTCTCTCATATGTTGTGACTCTTCTTTTGAACTATCAAATAATAAAGAGAAAGAATGTAATATTTAAAAATAGGAGGAAACCTAAAGTTGAGTTACTACACAAATCTTTCTTATTCATAGCATGAAGAATCACCATATGAATAATTTGAAAGTCTTATATGGATTGAATTTTTATTATGTAATGTAAAAAAGTGGTTTTTGTTTGCCTCTCTTCAGGGAAAGTGATTTATTTATTTATTTATTTATTTTTGAGTGAGAGAAAGAAAGAACATGAGCAG